TGTGCTCAGGGAAGGTGGTGGCGGTGGCCTCAATCTGCCCCCAGCATGGATGTGAGGGGGATATCTAGCCAAAAAACCCCTGCCCTCAGATAACCCAAGGTTTTATACAACTGGCACCCCCCTTACCCCACTCATACCAGATACCAAAGCTTTTCCTGTATTGAATTTCATCCTTATAAAGGAGACATCTCTGTCTCAGCTCTAAAGTTTCTGCAGCTGGAAGTCAAATATCATATTGGCACTTTTCAAACCAGAGGCATGAAAAACTCCAGTTCTTTTTTACCATACTTGCATGTTAACCTAAAGTGGCAAAGTAATGAACTATGGGATCCTGCTGCATGCACAACGGCTAAGTGTAACCACAGCCACGTAGTCTCTACAATATTAGCATCTAATGTACTGCTATTGCAAGACGTCTTGAAGATGTAAAGCAGTTCCGTTTGGATCCTGATATTTGTAACGTGTAGGCAATTCATTCTCATCAACATTAGCTATGTATTCAATGAACTTATCATATATTTCTCACATATTTATAAGATTAAAATTTAAATTAAATTGTAGCATTGCTATGCCAACTTCACATATACAGGGCCAAGTCTTACTGGAAATCAAATCCAGCGAAAGTAAGAAGCTATTTAAGACACTCTAGCTTTTGATAAACCTTAGAAATGAGCACTGCTAGCAGCTCTGACTATGTTGCAGCACTGAGATAATTTTACTGTAAAACTGTTTGGTCTCATGTAAACAATTCCACACCCCTCCAAGATGGAATAGAAGAAAATGGAAGAGGCACAGCACAAATCTCCACTGAATGACTTAATAGTGAGTACCACACATTATTCATTACTCCAAGAGTCTTTATATTTGATGTTGAATACTAAGCACATTATAAAAGGCAGTCACACAATTTTTGAAATTGTCAAAGCCCAACAAGGGAAAAAAAGATTATGCAAAGTGTCCTCACCTCCTGTTTTCATGTAGGGCAAATGTCATTCCCTTCACCCTATCGAAAGTGCACAAACCAGAAAAGTATGTAAACTGTAATGTTGTCATTTATGGTGTGTAACATTAAGAAACCAACTAAGTGTCTATAACTACATAGTTTAATCTATTTCAAGAAGTAAGGAATTTTCTAGACATGACAATTTGAGTTCTCTGAACATAAAACATTACAGTAATTATTTCACATTTTTATCTAGTGCTCTGGATGTGCATTTCCTCTAGTTAATGCATCAAAAACAAACAAAGGACAAAAAGTAAAGTGCTGATTAGCTACCAGTTTTCCTTAAATCACTGACATTTTACATTCTGTGAAGCAAGCTTTCAGTTTCCCTTAATATAGTGTACAAGTATAGTTTGTGCATCAATTGAAAAAGAAGGAATCTAGTCAAATGCAACATGATAGACAGACATACTTCCATTCTGCTGAAGCATTTCCAAAAATTAACTATTTTTAATAGATTAGGGGGTTCTCAATCCCTGGGCCATGGATTGGTGCTGGGCTGCGGCAGGTAGGCTGTCAGACTGGAAGTGGCCACAGACCGGCAAACTGCAGCCCCCCATAGCCGGGCAGAGAGGCCGCAGCTCCTTCTGCAGGGCCCACAGCAGCACAGGGTTTACCCCCCCAGTGCGGGGGCCACCCTTACCTCGGCTGTGACTGCTGGGCTGCGGCATAAAACCTTTGGGAACCCCTGCACTAGATCAACCACCAAAAATTAGTTCAGAGAAGTCTGCATTGTGTAGGAAGTCAAGCTAGGTGATGAAAAGGGTCTCTTCTGCTTTAAAGTACAAGAAGAATTTTAAGATTTTACTGGCTCTAGCTGGAATTTATTTTGTTGAATACAAAGTACTTAACTAGTTTAAATTATTTTTTTTAATCTATGAAGCCTGAAATACATGCAGTTCTCGTTAACTTCAAGATCACCTTGTCTGCTCTTATGATACCAAAGCCATTTAAAATCTTAGATGACTGAACTAACATCACCTGGTTCAACTGTGAAGCAATAGAAAAGTGGGGATTCCATGTAAGGTGCCTTCACAAATAAGCTTGATTCTCTTTTCAGCGTGCCATGTTACAGATAATTTTTTCTGTCATGCTTTTTCTGCACAGAAGATTTGATTTCAGTTTAAAAGTTAAGGTAGTTTGTAACATGTGAACACTCAAAGTGTTAAGAATAACCCCAACACTCAACCTATAGCTCCCTGAAAGAAACTTACTGGAGACTTTGAATAATCATCTGGGATCAAACTCCCATAAGCCTGCGAAAAGCTCAGTTATCTCTAGGACATTCTCAGAACACAGGTCAGAAACTATGTGCTACTGTAGTTCCATTTCCAGCATAGTATGCAAGTAACTTTAGATACACTAACTGAATTTAATTGACAAACCACACCATTATGTCTGTGGGACTGAGGTGCAGAGAGATGACATGACTTACCTGAAGTCATATAGAGGCAGGCTCTGGAAGAGCCAACTAAGCCCTGATCACCTGATCCTTAACCATAAGACCATCTTTCCTCTTCAGATGAATGATCAAAATATGTTCTTTTGTTGAGACAGACAGTTTTCTATAGCAACTCCTGAAAAAATAAATCACTATCATCTCAAGCAGTCCAGGAGAGGTGACACTTAAGGTACACTGGAAGTAACTGTGTAGATCTAATGAACAAAATTAGTACTTAATGACATTAATGCTGGTAGGAATCTGTCATGACTAAGAGATTCATTACACTTTCCATGGTCTTTGCCGGAACACACTGGACCAGGTTTCTTCCTTACATAGTATCTTCAGCTCCTAAATAGAAAAAGATGCAGAAGCGTATTACAGAGCTGCATCAGAATCATATTATTGGTGCAGAATTGGGACTTTCAAAATGTATGTACAAAGATCTTTGAATTCGTTCAGAGGTTCTCTCTGAACACCTTCTGCTACTCAGGTAAATATTAAGTACATATTTTAAAAACACCACCTTTTGAACAAAGACAATAGTGAGAATCTCCATTCCTTTTATTTCTTTATAGTTTGTGACTGCTGTCAGAGACTGACAAACAAACAAAAATAAAAACCAAAACCAAAACCCATACAACAGTCTCCTACCAGACAGCATCTATGGTTTGACCCATGCAGGTGGACTGGTTTAAAAGCTCTTGGCTTCTAGTTCCATTGAGCATCCTCTACCATACTAAGCAATAGGCAAAACTGCACCAATTGGGGACAAATTCTGAAGTGTAGGACTTAAAGATGCATGCACTTCTGAAGAAGAAATGAACAAAACTTGACATTACAGCTAATGCAGACTCACATTGTGTAACATGATTCTCATGAAAACACCCTCCCTGGGCACATCTACATGTGCCATTAAATGGACAGTAAAATTTATTGTGCAATAGACTAATTTATGGCACAGTTTGTGCCTGCACATGTAGATGGTGACACTTGACTGCACAGTAGAGTAATCTAATCCCCTGCGATTTAAACTTTATAAATATTGGCTTTTTATGTAGGCCCTCTGGGCCAAGGAGCAGAATAAGAATTTAAATGTTAGTAAAAAACCCAAAACACAAAAACAGCACAACATTAAAAAGTAATTCAACAAAATCTTTAAAAGCTTTTATTGTGATACCTCCAATAGATACAATATAATGAAACAACAAATGTTGGTACAGTACTGCTAGGACAAAACAGCAAAGCAGCCATGTCATCTGTAAATGAAAGCATTTTAAAGTGTTTAAGAAACAATGAGACAACTCAATTCTCATTTATGACTCCAGCTTAGGCCTTAAATTAATTGTAACAGTCCTTTTAAAAAAAAAATAACCTCTGAAATACTTATTCCTACACAACAGATGTTTTATACTGCTGGTTAGGCCACAGTAGTGCTAGATGAACTACAGCAGTGTCCATGCTTAACAATTTGACATCTTCCCTTCATTCTTCACCATTAGCATACAATGCATATGTTCAAATCTCTCTGTGGCTATTTATGCATCTCAGTCCAAATACAGATGCTGTTACAATCCAAGTACATGATCATCTCTTCAGAAAAGAGCAAAACAACTTTGATTAATTAAAAAACCCCAAAGTTTAAAATGGGTTGTCCACAGGTTGCTAAAGTTAGCTGCATGCAAAATTAAGCCGTTCACAGAGAAGTTGGCTTTTTTTTTTTTTTTTTTTTAAATTTGTCAAGTATTTAGGTTGCAGTAGGGCATCAAGACTTCATTAGTGCAGAGTGGTATAATTCAAATCTACATTGTGGTGTGGTTTATGTATAAATAAAAAAGTTCACACATTCTGGCCTCTTTAACAGCAAGTAAAGCTAATGAGCAAACATTACAGGCTGTTAAGATGGTAATAAAATACTGTATATTAAAATGGCAACACAGTAAAGTAAATCCACGTATATAGCAAAAAATGGATGAGCTGATGCATCAGCAAACCCTCCTTAATTCTATAGCCAGTTTACATTAACTTTTGAAAGTTAATGTACTGTAAATGACAGCACTGCCTCTCATGAGTTAAAAATGTTTCTATAGTAATCAGGCAAAGAAAGAAACCTGGCATTTAAAGTATATTAAACTCTATAACAACTGTGTTACAATCATTATTTAGGGCCTAGACAATGAAGAATCACCAGATTACAAAAAAAGAATGTCAAATTACGATGCTCATTTGTTTTAGGAGATGCATGGCTTTAGAGGTTCAAACAAAAAACCTTTTAATACATGTACATTTTGCTAGCACATTCCTATGTATCCCAATGAACATATCTTTCCAAACAGCCAGCTCATAGTCAGTTCATTTGGTCCTAGAAAAGAGCCAGCGTGAAACACAAAAGTTCCCAAAAGCTTTTTGTTACAGTTTATAAAAAAAAAAAAAAAAAAAAAAAAAAA